TGCCTAGAACCCCACATCACTAAAGAGTGTCCTCGTCCCAAAGACGCCGAATCCCCATCCACGTGCGTCCTGTGTAAACAAACAGGCCACCCGGCAAATTACAGTGGCTGCCCTTGCGCACGTCATCCTCGCCCCATAAGGCAAGCTCCACCGCCGGTTAATGACCGATCATTCCCGGCTGTCTATCCTAGATTGCCCCGTCAGGGCTTTTATCAGCCCCTCCAGGGTTTCTCTCAGCCCCTTCAGGGCCTCTCTCGACCCCCTCAGGGTCCCCCTAGGCCCCCTCAGGGACCTCTTCGGCCCCCTCCGGGCTTCTCTCAGCCTATGCAGCCTCCAGTCTTTCCCTGGGGCCCCAAAAAGACCGACACACCGCGGACAACCTCCGCCCCCAAACAATCTCAGCCCGCGATGGTCGAAGACCTTACCACGGTTTACGCCGCTATAAGGAACATCGACATCGAGGAGATCGCAATTTTAGCACGCAAATTGTGCGCTGCGAGGTCCCCTCAGGACCGTCTCCTCGCTCTTGTAAAGCATAACAATCTTTTAAGCTCGTTGTAAGTTAAGATAACTTAATTAACTTAACTCTACAATGACAGAGCAGTCTGCTCTACCAAAATCTCACGGTCGTATCAAACCTAAGGGTTCATCGCTTGTTTCCTTTAATATTCGCGGTTTGCGAAATAACCTCCCAGAGCTTAAGCTCTTTCTTCGAAATCGTGAAGCCGATTTCCTCCTCCTACAGAAAACTAATCTCAAAACTAAGGACACTAAAGGTCTTTCTATTAAAACCTTTCTTTTCTTCGTAATGATAGGCCCGACTGCCGAGGCGGCGGTACGGCCATTTATTACAAGAAGACACTCCACTGCCCTCCCATTTCTACTCCGCAGCTTACTAATATGGAAACCACGGTATGCAGGCTAGCTATGACTGGACATCAGTCCATTCTCATAGCCTCCTGTTACATCCCTTCTGGAACCCTTCCCCTTAAAAGAGATTTTGAGGCTATTTTATCTTTAGGTAACCCAGTCATTATGTTTGGAGATTTTAACTCCAAGCATACTGAATGGACATGCCGTACTACCTCCCGTAGTGGCAGGATACTGCTTGATATCACGCAGTCTCTTGACCTTACCGTTCTCAGTCCCCTCGGTGCTACTCACTATCCCGATGTCACCGACTACGCTCCAGACGTGCTAGATTTTGCACTACTCAAAAGTGTTTCCTTCAACCTCAGGGCAATCGAGACACTAGACGATCTAGGATCCGACCACCGACCGGTCTCCCTCATTCTTGGCCATCAGCCACCCCCCTCAACACCCTCTACTAAAACCTTCACAAATTGGAAGGGCTTCAAGGAATCCCTAGCGAAAGCTCTGGACTCACAGGACTCTCCCATCTCCCTATCGTCGGACTTAGACAGTCCCGAAAAATTGACACCGCGGTCGATTCCCTCTCCACCCTTATTAAAACTCCCTTAAGGAGAATGAAAGGGTAGTCCCGGTTGCTCGTAATAGTGGGCTTCCCTTACATATTAGCAACCTATTAAAAGCCAAGAAAGCTGCTTTCCGGTAGCAGCAAAATATCCCACGCCCGAATATAGGCGTACGGCCAATTGTCTTCAACGAGAACTCCGTTTCCGCCTCTCTGAATTTCGAGACCTCGAAAAGACTAAACTCATGGAGAATATCTCTCCCTCTCACACAGCGTACTATCGGATGGCAAGAGCCCTCCACATAGACGCTATCACCCACACTCCCCCTCTTTCCCGTCCCGACGGTACGGTAACCTTCGAGGACGATGAATAGGCTGAGTGCTTTGCAGACATCATTGCCGCTCAATGCTCCCCTAGCTCTCAACTCGTCGATCCTTCACACGTACAGGCGGTGGAGAATGAGGTCTGCCGCTGGAACTCACCCCCTACAGCCTCCGAACCTGTCTCTGTGTCCAATGATGAGATTTCATCCCTCATCAAAGGACTTAAGCCCAAAAAGGCCCCGGGCGCGAATGGCATCTCCAACCAAGCCCTTAAACACTTTCCTGAGTAGGTGTTAACCCTTTTAACTATTATCTTCAACGCCTGCTTCAACCTTAGTTATTTTCCCACTACGTGGAAAGAGGCAATTGTGATTGGTATTCCCAAGCCAGGATTTTACCTGAGTAGGCTCAACAGTATGTTGGGCCGACACAGTAAAATGTCCCTCAGAAACAAGCGTACACTATATAAGGTCTGTATACGACCAGTCATGTCCTACGCGGGCCCCATTTTTGCCCACGTTGACCCTAAAATTATTAATGAACTCCAAGTAGTTCAAAACCTCTTCTGTCGTCGAGCTACGAACGCACCTTGGTACGTCCGTAATGCCGACCTTCATCGGGACTTAGAGCTCCCTACAATCTAAAAATTCCTCAAAAAAACTCTCTGAGAACTTTTTCAAAGCCTCAGAGTCGCATTCCAATAATTTTATTCGTGAGGCAGCAACATATACAGCCCCACCCCCGCTATCGCCTCGGCAGGCCGAGTAACTCCCTCTCGGACCCGCCTAATAAACTCAAACGACCTGAACTGCCTCCTGGCGGCTCAGGCCAACTCTAATTAAGTTATTCATAATTAATTTGCCTTCGTAGGCACTCCCTCAGCGGCTAGTAGCCGCCTGCGCCCTCTTTTCCCAAAAGAGGGTCGGTTCCGATACGGCATAAAAAGCTTTAAACAGCTGGTTGCCAGTCCCCAAAGGCGGTTTTTAGAGGGTATCACTTAGGATCCCCGGTAGGCAGTGAGTCCCTCATAACCACGATAGATCGGCTGTCGTGGTATGCGAAATGCATTTTCCGCCTCCCCACGTAAAGGGTAGCCCTTTTCCAAATGCTTCGGGCGCAAAAAAAAAAAGTCGTTCGACACAGTTGGCGGCCAGCTACCTCAAGAAAAACACCGAATATAGAAGAAAGAAAATATCTCAGCGCTTTTATTCCCCACCAACCCAGCACACAATTGTGCCTGTAGGGCACACGTGTGTTGAACATTTGTGATCAGGAACAGATAATAGAAAAAGGCACATTGGTTGGTACTAGTGAGAAAGTGGATTAGTTGCGTCGGTGCGAATATCTATCGACTGGGACCCTCAGAAAGGATGGACAAACGAGAGTGACCACACTTTTACTACTACTAGTTACTACTCGTTCTCTCCCCGAATGAAATGGTCAAGGCGAAGAAGTTGTTACTCAAGTACGCCAATGTTTTCTCGTCAAACGAAGCTGACATAGGAAAGACTGGCTTAGTTCAACAGAAAATAAACACAGGAGAAGAATTGCCTATTCGTCAGCGGCCAAGGAGATTGCCTGTAGCACGTGAAAAGGAAGTGGAAGCCATGATTGAGGGAATGGTGAAGGATGGTGTTATTGAACCTTCATCTAGTCCATGGTATTTACCTGTAGTGCTGATAAAGAAGAAGGACGGCAGCATGCGCTTTTGTGTTGACTACCGCCGCCTGAACGACGTTACAAGGAAGGACAGCTATCCCTTGCCAAGAATTGATGACACGCTGGACATGCTTACAGGCGTAAAGTGGTTTAGTACGCTGGACTGAAAAAGTGGCTACTGGCAGGTTGAAATTGACCCTAAGGACAAGGAGAAATCTGCATTCTCCACAGGAAAGGGTCTGTAGCAATTTAAAGTCATGCCGTTTGGATTGTGCAATGCTCCAGCAACGTTTAAAAGGTTGATGGAGCTTGTACTTACCGGGTTAATTGGAGATGCCTGTCTGGTCTACTTGGATGACATCATCATCGTAGGCCGTACGTTTGAGGAACACCTTCAAAACCTGGAACGCGTGCTCATGAAGATCTAGAGTGCCAACCTCAAGTTAAGTCCGAAGAAGTGCTCACTATTCAAACGGCATGTTAGCTTTTTGGGGTATGTAGTGTCGGAAGAAGGTATCCGCACGGATCCAGAGAAAATTGCCGCTGACAAGGATTGGCAGGTTCCAAAAGACAAGACACAGGTTAGAGCATTTGTTGGTTTGTGCTCTCATTACCGGAGATTTGTGAAGAACTTTGCAGATATATCCAAACCTCTGCACAGACTAACCGAGGAGAAGCGACATTTCTGCTGGGATGAAAGTTGCAATATTGCATTCCAGGAGCTCAAGAACCGTCTGTGCAAAACACTTATTTCGGGGTACCCTGATGCGGGCAAGGAGTTCATAGTTGACACGGACGCAAGTGATATAGCTTGGCGGTGTGTTGTCTCAACGGAATGGTAATCAAGAGATTGTGATAGCGTACGTCAGCAAGTCGTTGTCAAAGCCGGAAAGGTACTATTGTGTCACAAGATGGGAATTGCTTGCTGTGGTAAGATCCTTGCAGCATTTTAGCAAATATCTTCTGGGGCGGAAATTCCACTTACGAACTGACCATGCTGCACTGAAATGGCTATTGCAGTTCAAAAATCCGGAAGGACAAGTTGCGAGATGGATTGAACTACTGCAGGAATATGACTTTGTGATCGAACATCGCAGCGGGAAATCTCACGGCAATGCAGATGCATTGTCAAGAAGACCTTGCCCTGAAGATTGCAAGCATTGTACTAAGCAAGAGGGTAAGGCAGTGGTATCTGTGAGGATGATCAGGACAGACCAGCTCAGCAATGAGTGGATGGACAGCCTACAACATGCACAGCAGGAAGATTCGGACATTAAGCCGATTCTGGAATGGATGAAGGCCAGTGCTCCCAAGCTCAAGTAGAGCGACGTCTCAGCAATGAGTTCGACCATGAAAAGCTATTGGGCGCAATGGGTCAGCTTGCTGATTCAGGATGGAGTCCTGTGCCGTAAATGGGAAAATGGTCGGGGAGACAGATGTCATTTGCAAATAGTTGTCCCTAAGGCTAAAGTACCGGATGTTCTACAGCTGTACCATAGTGGTTGTTCAGGAGGCCACCTGGGAGTTAAACGAACTCTACTGAAGATCTGAGAACGGTTTTACTGAGTCCACTGTCGTGACGATGTTGAGGACTGGTGCCGTACAAGTACAATGTACAAGTTGTGCGACTGTAAAGGAACCTCCAGCTCGTAGTAGAGGCGCATTGAAATTGTACAATGTTGGTGCACCATCGGAGAGGATAGCCATTGACGTTGCGGGGCCGTTTCCGGAAAGTGAAAGTGGTAACAAGTATTTCATGGGTGTGATGAATTACTTCACTAAGTGGCCAGAAGTCTTCGCCATTCCAAATCAAGAAACTTCAACAGTTGCAGATAAACTAGTTCATGAAGTCTTCTATGGTTTTGGAGCACCCTTAGAGATTCACAGCGATCAAGGAAGAAATTTTGAGTCTCAAATATTCTTACTCTTATATAATAAAGTTATGGGTGCTCATAAAACACGAACAACTTCTTACCACCCACAATCTGATGGAATGGTAGAACGATTTAATCAAACATTGGAAAGGTACCTGGCAAAAGTTGTGGAAAAACAGCAAGGAAACTGGGACAGGCACATATAACCGTTTTTATTGTCATATCGAAGCGTTGTTCACGAAAGTAGTTGTAGTAGAAGTTGGGACAGAATTACGGTTGCCTGCAGACCTGATCACCGGAATACCACCTGATGCCCCACACAGTATAACCTATTATGCAAATGACTTGCGAAACAAAATGAATAACATTTATGAGCACGTCAGACAGTCGGGCCAGCAAACGTCTGAGAAGATGAAAATACGGTATGACCGCAACATGAACAACAAAGGGTTTGACGAAGGTTCACTAGTGTGGTTACACAATCCAGATCGCAGCAAAGAGAAATCTCCTAAGCTTCAAGCTAAATGGGACGGACCGTATCGGATTGTGACAAGGATCAATGACGTAACCTACCGGATACAGAAAGGTGCCAGAGGTATTCCTAAGATCGTCCATGTGGATCGACTGGCGCGTTATTATGGGGCCAATAATGCTCGGGACGAGCATGTATTAGGAGGGGGCAGTGTTGCGCGCCACTATTAATGTCTTGTACATGGCAACACTAGTTACACTAGCGCCCTCTAGTGTCGAGTAGTGGAACTAGGAGAGTTAAGATCCTTCCAGAAATTTCGGGACCGATATGTGCTCGAACGTTCTAGATGTCACTACAGTGGAAGGTTCTGGAAACTGTCTGAAGCCCTATATAAAGCCGGTATAGACCACGACCAGGGCAGAATTGTATTGGCGACACAAGAGAATACTTCGAAGCGAAATAACTGCGAACTAAAGTGTTTTTGTTTTATTATTAGTGTGGTTTTAGATTGTAATTAGTGTTGTGTAATTAAAGTGTCAATTTTGGTAATTCAATCGGCAGTTTTAATTGTCTCGAACCCCAGCGTCGTAACAGTACGAGTATGTTGTTTGTGTGTTTTGTGTTTGTATGTATGTTGACTTGAATGACATCGAAAGTCATAAAAAATCATTGTACGAAAATTTTATCGAGTTAAATTCATGCTGACATGACACAGACAATTTTTAATTTTCGCCAAATCGTAAACAAATAGCAATTTAATAAAATACATACACAATAATATTGGCAAAGTGTTCCATTTTAAAAATTTAAACTTATTTTTTATATCGTTTAGAAGTGGCCAGTTCTAAAAACTCAGTGTCACCCTCGTACAAACGAATTAACGCTGGTGTTCCACAAGGCAGTGAGCCATCACCAACGCCACTACTTCTGCACATCAATGATATGTTGCAAACCGGTAACATTTATTGCTACGTGGACAACAGCACTGGTAGAATAGAATAGAATAATTTTTATTCAGTATATATTACATGTGTAATTCTTATTGTAAGTCATTTTTTACTTTACCACTGGTTCGAAAAAAAACCCTCTGTCCTGGGAAGAACCAGCTAGAAACCCAGCGGGACTTTTTTTTTGGTGATGCTTTATACACCGGCTATCCCAAAATTTCTTAGAAAAACGTCGCCAAGTACCGGGACAAACTTGTGTCTAAAGTTGAGAATTTGTTGAACAATGTCTCGGATCGGGAGCGACTAAATTTAGTCCAGATCAATCACCAGAAGACACAAGTTTGCGTGTTTACCACAAAAAAAAACCCTTTGTTGTATCTCCTCAGTTTCAGGGCACTTCCCTTGTTGCCTCAGCCAGTGTCCGAATCCTCAGCGTCAACATTTCGAATAACTGCAGGGAAGAGAAGGCCTATATGGCCTCTCTTCTTCTCTTCAAAAAGCTTGGCGTGCTCAGCAGAACGTGACAGCATTTCATGTCGGCTCACTGCCCGCAACTTTACTAGGCGCAGGTTCGGCCTCACATCGAATACCATCTCCCATGTTCCCATCTCTGGGCCGGGGCTCCCCAGTACCAGCTCCTTCTATTTGATCGTATCCAGCACAGAGTGGTTCGAATTGTCGGTGACCGAGTTCTTTCTGATCGCTTTGACTCACTGGCACTGCGAAGAGATGTTGTATGTTTTTGCCTATTTTTTGGAGTGTATTGTGTATTTTTTGGAGTGGGTGTGTTATGAGGAATTGTTTGGACTCATTGCATCCGCTCAATTCACCATCACATATCGCGACAAAACTCGTGATACCATCCTTACCATCCACACCATCTGCATGTTTGGCGGTCCACCACTGTGCGAACAAGAAGTATTTTTGTTTCTTCCTCGCACAACTTCCTTGTGGAATCGACTAGCACTAACGATTTTTCCGAACCAATACAACTTCGGGACTTTCAAGAGAAGAGCCTTCTCTTTTATCAAAAGGCCGGTAACGCACCTGGGATTCCGTTAGCGTTGCAGAAGTTTACGGGCAGCAGTCGAAACTTACCAATAGGTGAGTTGCATGTTCGTTTGCCCACTCTTGTTTATAAATATAACAAAGATTTCTTCGCAAGGAATCTTACTCTCGACAACGCATCAAGTATAACAGTTGCACTACGAAAAATTCTATGATTACATACGAGATAGGGACAGTCTCAAGGTCAAAGCATTAAGTAAGCAAAACAATTAAACCATTTACGGAATAAACAGAGTGCCACATCATTTCCGTCACGAACGTACGATGAAGTGAGCAAATCATACAAACCATATATGGAATATACATAGTGCTACATAATTTCCGTTATGAATGGACGCATGAAGTGAGCAAAATATAGAAACCACATACGGAATATACAGACTGCCACATCATTTCCGTCATGAACGGACGCATGAAGTGAACAAAACATACGAACTATATACGAAATATACAGAGTGTCAAATAATTTCTGTCATGATGTGTCATGATGTGGACGCATGAAGTGAGCAAAACATACAAATCATATACGCAATATACAGTATACCTCATGCTTTTTATCATGAACGGACGTCCTAAATGAGCAACAATAATTCAAATTGAATATCGTCCTGTCCAATAAAAATGAAATTCCTATTCTACTATGTTATTAGTATTAACAGATAAACTAACAATATTCACCTCTAAGGGCGGATTCGACCAAATAACATGTTACTCCAGAGTAACTAACCCTCGAATAATTTTACTCTTTGGCCTTACTCTCAGATAACTTCGTTTGCGTTTTTCCAACACAAACGTAGAGTAGCTAATACTGGGTATTGTTACTCTAGAGTTGGTGAAGGAAAAATGAATGAACGTGTAAGCCGACTAAAATCGAAATACAATTGTTTATATAGCTCAATGCAAGATTTTCTGTCCACTTAGTTTTGCCGGATTATATTAGTGTCGACTGTCACTTAAGACTAGAATATTAACATGAGTCGAGTTGTTAGTTGATTATACTTCTAATCTTATTTTTATCTTCTATATTTCGTAAATGTTGCATTATTTCACAAAATAATCCCTACAATTATCACAAAAATACAAGAATTTATATATGCACAACGATAAAATATCTTACATTTTCAACAAAGCATACGAAAACAGCTGTTAAAATGTAGCGACCGCCATTAAAATACTCTGGGATAACTTGTTTACTCCATGAATTTTGGCGGTATAACAATAATTTACTCTCGGATAGACAGTTATACATGGGTTAATATTTGGTAATACGAAAATTCTCTACCTCGAGAGTAATTACTGATTTTATTCTCAGGATAAGACTTATACTAAGTTTGGTCGAATCCGCCCTAAACATTTGAAATTCTACCGGAAATACAAGAAGCAATAAGTATCTATCGTAAAAAGACGCAAGAAGTCGTCTGCGATGTAAATATATATATATATATATATATATATATAGGTATTTTTTAATATTCATCCTAACTGTTAAATATATATAATTTGACTTAAAAATATTTATTGTTTTCAAATGTAAAGTTTTTAGTTCTTTTTAATTACACTTTCTTACCTCCAACCTTTTATACTTGGAAAACCAAACTTCTCGTTACTAAACAATACATTAGTCTGTATTAAAGCAATAAGCTAGTATTGTTGTTGTTGTTGTTCCTCTTCTTCATCAGTTTGTAAAGCTCTATTGTTTTGCATGGATTTCTGTTTTTATTATATATATATATATATATATATATATATATATATATATATATATATATATATAATATATATATATATATATATATATAAATATATAGGTTTACCCCTTTAAGGGCTACGCTAGTTTGTTTACCTGGGCCAAAAAGTCTAACTAGGTAAGTCCAACTTCAACCGGGAGGTCGATCGACGGATTCACCTCGGCTGGGCAGTGTTCGGAATATTACCACAGATCTTCTCGTCAGGCATACCTCAAAATTTCAATACAAGATTGTACAAATAGTGCGTGTTGCCAGTGATGACTTATGGATCCGAGACATGGTCCTTGATCACTGGTCGTATGAGGAAGCCATTCCATCCATCCTAGTGCAACGCATAAGTATTTTAATTATTAGTCGTGAATTATTAATACTTAATAAATACTTAATAATGTGATACCAAGGTTGTGGTTATGTTATCGCAGTGCTGGGCATGTGGCTGAACGGCACACGGGTAGATATCGTGTTACTACGCAGAGACAGAGAGCCGTGGTAGCTCAGATGGTTAGCGCTCGCTGTAAGCTTCACAGTACTCGAGCAACCCGTCGGTCGCTTCACAGTACTCGAGCAAAGCGATCGATCCCTGCCGGCACCAATGATATTGTTAATTGCAATTGTAAGTGCTGATTTACCACGTGCTCGGCGGTGATGGAAAACATGGTGAGGAAACCTACATGTCTGAGAAATAAGAAAAAAAAATTTCGATGACATGTAAAGTTCGCCAACACGCATTGAGGCAGCGCGGCGGACATTTCCTTGCCCTAACACCCTCTCAGAAATGAGAGGAGGCCTGTGCCCAGCAGTGGAGCGTAAATAGGCTGCAACTTTACTTTACTTTACGCAGAGACAGGATCGATTTCTCCAAATGACCGCCAGAAGACAACCACTATCACAGCGATGCAACTACTACAAAGGCTTCAGGAGGACCACATTGCGGTTGGCGACTTTCGTGGGTTCGGGAGCATTTACCATGG